GCGGCGGCGCCCCCCTCCCGCGGCGGGTATTGTCCTGCCCGGAGCTGCGCCAGGAAAAGCTGCCTCGGCTGGACCCTGGAGCTCTCTGCTCCTCCCACTCATGGCAAAGGTGCCCTTTCCACCAGCACTGCCCCACTGTCCTCTTCGCTGACCCTGAGACATGCTGTTTGTCCCCTCTGTCATTTCGTCCTACCCCACCAGCCCACACCAGCAGCTGCTGCCAACCGTGTGGCTCCCCAGAGCCTGCAGATCCTCCTGCAACTGCCCCGGGGCTCTCGGCCCCTCTTAGTTTTGGTCTGATGGGCTGGACCCAGGGCAGCAGCTTCTGCCTTCACCCAGCTCTGAAACAAAGGTCCAGGCCAGGTGATGGACCTGCAGGCTCCCAAACACATGCAAATTGCCCCAGGGATGTGCAAACCTCAACAGGGTCCCTGGCACATGCAAACCTCAAAGGGGACCCCGCAGTGCACAAACCCTGCCAGGCTCCAGGCAATGTGCAAACCTCTATAGGGTCCCCGCAATATGCAAACCTGCCTGAGGACCCCATGGTGTGCAAAGTGTCCCTGTGCTGCTGGTGGGCTGGGCTGGGTGGTGAGGAGAGCAGCAGGCTGGACTTGAGCCAGCAAGGATGAGCAATGGAGGCCCGGGGTGCAGCAGCAGAGAGAGGGTTAAATGGCCCCGTCACCACCAGCACCTGCCTGGCCACACAAAGCCAGCCTTGTCCCAGCCACCTGCCAACACCTCGGCACCAGTTCAAAGAGAAGTTGCTCTCCACCTGGGCTGAAGGCCCGACGGGGAAGACCGTGTCGGCCACTTTGGTGCCAAAGGCTGCTTTTCAGCACCTTCGGCCACTCCCATGGGCACCAGGGCTTGGTGCTGCTGGGGCTGGGCCCAGGGACCTTCAAGGAGGCAGGGCACCTGCCAGCAATCCCAACTTCCTTTGGAAGAAACGGGAGCATTGTCTTTAGTCCTGGTGTTCCTGCAGAAAAGCAGGATGGCATCAAGAGAAGCACCTTAGGGAGGTTTGGCAGCAGGAGGAGGAGGATGTACAGGGACCTCATCATTCCCACAGAGGCAGTTACACTTCACCCTGGGTTTGCACCTCTATTTCCCCCTCTTGCGGTCATACTGATGCCAACACAGGAAACTTGGAGCCAAAACTGGAGCCGTTCCACATGGCGGGGATAGGGCAGTCTGGACACCTTGGCACAGCTCAAGTACTATCCAGTAGCCGTGCCCCAGCCCCCTGGGACCCCTGGCCTTATGGGCCATAGGGCATCCCCCATCTGGGTCCCCCAGCCCCACAAGGGCTGGCAGGGGACAGCCCTGAGGGAGCTATTTTTTAAGTTCCAGTCTCTCTTAAGCTCCAGTCAGGGGCACAAGCGCGGCAGCCCCAGCCCCAGCTCAGCCACAAGCTGCCGTGCAGCCTGAGCCACTCCACTTGCATGGCCAGGGCCAGACACGGGGAGGGCTCTCCCTGGCTCTCCTCCTGAGCCAAAACACTGAGGTCATGAGGAATGTGAGAAGAAAAGAGTCCAGAGCAGCCCTGGCCAGCACAACTTGATTTATCTCGGCCAGGCACGCTTCCCTCGAAGCTGCACGCAGGCGATAAGCCCTGAAGTTGGGGCTGAGGCTGTTCCAAAGTTAAAGGGAAACCACTGAGCAAGCACTCGGCTTCCTCTGCTGCCTGTGACCTGCTGGGATTTGGGCTCCTTGCAGGGAGCCAGCTGTCACACGTGGCCATCACCTGCAGTGTCACTGGCTGGTGCTGCAGGCTGGGCGGTATCCAAGGCTCATCACACCTTCCCATTACTGTCCCATCCCCACCCCTGCCCCAGGCTGCACAGGCCCCCAGCCTGTTCTGTGCCACCCACTGTCCTTGTGCCCGCTCAGCCAGGCTGGGGCTGCTCCTGGAGGAGCTGGGTCCCGTGTGGGTGGGTGTGCCGGTGCTGACCCAGGGAAGGAAAAGGAAACGCTTCTTCCTTCTCAACAGCCTAATTTCAGGGTTGGGCTGTTATTTCTGGAGTTGTCATCATTGTCAGCCTGGTTGGCCATAGGGGCTGCTCCAGCACCTCGGGGACCTCCCTGAGCTCACACAACACCTGGACAACAAGCCTGTCATCCATACCCAGACACACTCACATGGGCATCAGCTCGACGGGCCCTGTCACACCTACAGCTCTATGGGGCTCCTGTATGTCCCCTAGAGAACATCTACCACTTGCCCTAAACCCTCGGAGCAGCTCTTCCCATCAACACCTCCCGGACTCCCTTGGGGCTGGTGTGTTCACAGGTTTGGCAACGAGCCCCGAGGGCCTGGGATCTCCTTGTTGTGAGGTGTTCGGGGAGGAAATGGTTAAACTGACACCCAGGGTGCGTAGGAACAGCCCGGGTACACGCAGGCACAGCCCCAGGCTGTGTGCTCGCCAGGGAGCACCCCGAACCCTCCCGCACCCCAGAGGGGCCGGCA